AAGAAGAAGAGAGAGAGAGAGAGAGAGAGAGAAGAAGAAGAAGAAGAGAGAGAGAGAGAGAGAGAGAGAAGAGAGAGGCTCCTCCGAAAGATCCGCGATAATCCCGCAACGATTCCCCCGCGTGAGGACACGGAGAGCACGGCGTGTCTCACGGCGAACCGTGTATCGCGTGTGTTGCCTAATGGTGGAAGGAAACGTTATCCAGAGGCGGGCAATGGACGGGCATTACTGTACGGCGTACCCTGGTAGGGCCGAGAGAAGTCAGCCTCCGGGATATGGACTCGTACTCAGTCTTCGAACTGGCCTCGTACCGCGCTCTATGCAGCGTGTCACACAGCCCTGTGAACAGCGGCAGCTTAGTTAACAACACCGCGTGTTGCTCCGCATCTTCGTCTTCGAGTCTCTCGTCCGCTGGACCTCTTGCGCTCGCACACCGTCTCGTCGTTCACTGGTCTCTCGTAGTCGACTCTTCATTACTCCGCGAGACTTATTTTCGTATTATCGTAACTTCCGCAACTTCGCGTGGAATTCTCCCCCGGTGTCTCTCTCTATTCTATATTTTCGTGACGTTTCCTTTTTCGTGGAATTTTCGCGAAATAACTCTCGTCTCGTCAGTTTATGGTGGATTTCTGGCAGTTATCATTTCATAATTTCTCTTTCGAGAAGAAAGGAAAGTATTGCAAGTCTCGATCGATATCAACGGGATCTTTCGATCACCTGTCATCCGGCGAGGAAGAAACGGCTAGAGCCGCAACGACAAGTGGATTTACCGGAAACGAGTCTTCGACACGGAGGATGACAGAAAAGTAGAGCGGAGCTGGGAAAAAGAAGGCAAGACTATGGATCTTCTTCTCTTGATCGGATTGCTTCCCTTGATATCAGGTAAGATTCTTATACAAGAATACGTTTTACATCTACATTGTTGGATTATGAATATCGATCGGGAGATACGATACTTGCGATGCAAAATATCGGAATCTGTGGAAGAGGGCAAATATTTAAATAGGATGAAAGGAAAGATTCTTAGAGGAGAATCTATCGGTAAATTTTCTTAGTTTTCAACGGAATATCCGGTGTCTCTCGGATACGAACACGTGCTTATTTAGACTTCTTTTCAGTTTTTCTTTAATCTCCCATTTATCATTATTTATCATTTTTTTTTGTATTTTATTTTTCTCCTTTTTGCGAATATTATAAGTAGACTACGGATTTTTTCTTTTCTAATTCATATATGATAATGCATACTATATTTTGAATTACCACGTCATTATACATTTCCATTTACATTATCGTATATTTATATTGCACAGTATTTGACTACTTAACGAAACGAGATCGGAAAATTTCTATCTACTATTGTGTAAATATTTCCGAAAAATAAAATGAGATCTTCTTACGTGTTCGTTCTTGTTAATCAAATTTTAAAAAAATAATTTTGACGAGTAGCTTATTTATTTCAATCATATATATTTTTCAATAAAATAAAAGTGACCAAATAAATTGTAACGCGTGTAAAAAAAAAGTCTGTTGATCACGTTGAAACTTTTTCAAAATCAAATCTTTTAAAGGTTTTGTTAATTGATAAAAAACAACCAATTGTTTTTTATCAATTAATAATAATGAAAAAATATCTTTTTACATAGATAATTTTTTACAAGATATAATGCAACAAAACTCTTACTTTTACTCTTCAATAATCTAACCATCAATTAAAGTATAATATCAAAGATTATTTAAAATATATGTATTGTATGAAAAATATTTATTTATATTTACAAATATCCGCAGGCATCAATTTTTCATTGCGGAAGACGCAAGACCGGATGCAATGACTGCTCGTTATCCAATACCGATCCGATGATTTCACTGTCGATGAATTTAATTGCTACCAATCCCGGGTGATTAACTTCGGGAGCATTAAAATATTTATTCTTCGCGCCGGTCGAGAAGCGTCGATAATGGCCCTATACATTATTTCGAGCTGGTTTGCATGGGAACGAGCCACGCGCAGTTATTCTGTGTTCAAATGCTGTTTTTGATCGAACATTTCGTGGATTGGTGGAATTTGATATTTCGAACCAATGTTAATAATCCAATTACGATCGAACATTAACAATTCACGATTTGTTAACAACAACTGTTATTATCTTTCAAAATGATGGTTTGAAATTGAAAGGTATATTCGTTATTGTTTACAATTAATGATACTTTTAACTTTTAAATTACAAATAATATTAAGTTTTTTTTTAAAAGTGTATCTGTATCTGATTGATTGAAAATTTTTTTTATTATAATTGATATATGTACGAAAGTGTGAATTAACTTTGATCCGCGAACAAACAGTTTATAAATTGTAAAATAATTATTGGCATTTATCGAGAAATTTTTTTTCAACTAGATTGCTATTTGTTTTTCGTTTTTATTATCTTCAAATTCTATATTTTATATAGAAAAATGATAATTTTATTATTGTGTTTATTCTACGTCAATTATTAATATTATTATTTTTTCTTCTACAAAATCAAGTAAAATTATTTACGTGTCAATTATAATATACATCTATAAAAATTCTGGGCAATAAATTTCTGAAAGATACGAACGACGATATTGCACAATTGATCAAATCAAAGAGTACACATGAATGTATTAATAACACGAGTAACATAAGAATTAAAAAAAAAATTATACAATTTCGTCAATTTTCCACAATTTAATTTCTTTCATCAATATCATTACACTAAACCAATCTATCTGTCCTTCAGCTCGGTAACGAAATAAATCGTAATTAATCGCAATATTTGCCTTCCCCCCTCTCCTTTTACTCTAAATAAAATAAAAAGAAAATTCAATTGTGGACGTGCGTAGCGACGAAGAAGCACAGAGAATTTCCAGAAAATATTTTCACGTGGCAAAAGCGCCACGTGTCTAACAATTTCGGGAATTTTCGTCCTGCACGCGTGAAATATTTGCCAGCCCGTATTTTCGTGTAAACGCATAATCGAGAAAGGATACGCGATATTTCCCTCCCGACTGGCACAGCTGTCACGAACACACAGCCAGGCTTTTATTTTTCTGTCAACAACGTGTTCGCGTGAGCTTTATTACGAGACGAGGGAGAACACGCAACCGCCTCTCGATCGGACCTTCGTCTCTCCCTCGCCTGTTCACGCCATCTTTTCTCCGTTCGCGGAAATTCCGTTCTACGAGGAATTCGTTCTGGTTTCTGTGCTTCTATAACTGCTTACAGACGAAAAGAGAATGGTATACAGCGGACGATTTTCCACCACGAGCTTCCACCTTCGATGTGCAAATTATCCAAAATTGTTGGAAATCGTTGCCCGTGTTTTTGAAACACAGGCGTGTTAAGCCAGATTTACACTGGGCGAATAAGTATAAATATTAAGAACACGAATGAACGTGATAATTATAACAAGATTAATATAATGTAATAATTGTTATATGAATGATTAAGAAAATGATACGTTTCGATAACATGTAAATCTAAATTTCAAGTTTAAACTTACTTACTTACAAATAAGTTGGATATTTTTTGATTATCATATCAAAGAATATATTACGGTAATAGATAGATTGCACAAATTTAAAAAGATTTGTTACTCGAGGAAAATTGTAATTCAACATTTCCAAATTGTATGAGATTAGAATTAAGAAAAATTGCATATTTATTTATACTTACATTAAACATAAGAGATAGAATAAATATATACTCAAATTGAGAAATAGAGATAAAAAAGAATGAATAGAGTTACTCGTTCGTGTGGATCCGACTTTAGGTTTTGACCCAACTTAAGTGTTCTGGTCGTCTTTGTGCGACGATCCTTGAAAAATTCATCGAATATCGTTTTTAAAACAATCGTCGATAGATTTTTCCATCCTAAAATGCAAAAAAGGCGGAGTTTCGCGGTTTGATCTCGCCTTTTTGGCGCGTCGACTCGGTATCTCTACTTGCCAATTTCATTACCAGCTTGTAGTGGTGAGCTTTGTGCTTTCTCGCCAACCCCTCAGCTTGATAACCGTATTGCGCTTAACAACATGGCCAACTTTCTTTTTGTTTCGTGCTTTCGCGCAATTCAATTGTGGCGAATCACTTTGTCAAGTTAGTCGTCATTGTTAACACCTGAAAGAAACCGGTGAAGTAAATTTGTACAAGTTTATAGTGCATGGAGAGAGATTAGATTGAAAGAAATGTAGATTTTTTTTTTTTCGTTAAAATACATTTGTGTCTCGTTTAAGATATAAAACAAATGTAAGTTATTGTGAACAGGATGATTTTACGATTTTATTCATAGTGTAATTTTTTTTTTTTTTTTTTTTTTAGTTATTTAAAATGATAGAGGATGTGATTTGAATAATTAATTGATTGCTGCATTGATTGACTCTTTCGTTTTTTTTTTTTTTCTTTTTGGGAAAATAAATCGAGGTAATCGAAGTAAGAATTTTTCAACCAAGCTACGATCTATCATTGTCTTGTTTCACCGATGTTGATGAGTTTCGAAGGAGCACAACGAGGGACCTGTCTCTCGACACTTGCGCAAGAAACATTCTCCCCTCTCTCGTCATTTCGTGAAATTCTTTCTTTTTCGTCCACGTTTCCGCGAAAACTTAGCGTTTCGACGTCGAAACGCACGAGACTTCGAGCGTTACGGCAAGAAGTTGCGAGTTGAAGATTTAACTTCATTTCTTCGATCGATTTTATGATACAATTGAAGTCACAAAGGTCTTACAATTAATTTTAACGAGATACTTTAAATATCATCGAGAGATAAAATTAAAAAAAAAAAAAAATACATAATTTATTAATTGTAACAGAGTTAAAAAAAATTATCGTTCAATCCATAATGAATTATTGAAAAGTATCTACTCCTTATAGTTAATCAATTTTAATCAATAGAAGATAAGTATTACTTTTTGTCTCATAGAACACGAAATATTTCTTGCAATATATTTACAACAGAAGTTAAATTTAATTATTTTCTTATTCGATATCTTACTGTCTACTGTAACTCTGTACAAGAAATATCACGCATGTTAATACTCATTTCTTCCATATATCCGTCGCATCGGTCATTGCTTCTATATTATGGTAATGGTATATAGCTCGGTATACAGTACTGCTCCGGATCGACATCAAATTGCCAGTTATACACTGCAACGACATGGGAGCCGCTCTTAGAGCTATTTTTGCGATCCCCGAGTTATTCTTACAACAATATCATTAAAGCTTTCGTTTCGAGTGCTCATTTTATCATTCGCTATATGAAAATTAATTATTTCGATAATTTTTTAAACAACTTTTTTACCCCTGAAAAGGCAATAATATAATATAACGACAAAAATTGTATATAACTTTCAATCATATCACAATATACATCTTCTATTGACACATTTTTCTTACTTTGCAATATATGTATATATATATAAATATCCATATAATTTATCTGTCATTAATCCCCTAATTTTCATCTTGTCGCTCGAACAAAATCTATCCCAATAATTTTCAAAGTGCAGAAATCTGAAAAGAAAAAAGGAAAAGACACGGAGTTTCTCCTCCTCTAATAATGCACGGAGGGGGGGAAAAAATTCTCGGTCGAATTTATCGAGATCCCGCGGATATCCTGAAACTGGCCGCGTCAGCAGGCCCTTCCAGCTCGTCTGCCATATCTATGTACATTGTTTTTACCGCGGACATGGTAGCAGCTGCGAGCCAGAAGCCGCAGAATCTTCGTGGCGAGATATCACGAGATGTCCCCTTTGCACTCGTTTCGCCGCCGCTCTCCAGCTTTCTTTTGTGTTTTCTCGCCGTTCTCTAGTGGTTCGACCCGGACTAAATATAGAGGCGTCGCAAGGGTCTGTCCCGCTGA